GTTGTAGGTCTTTGGTGCTGGTCTGTGGGTTGACTCTGATTGTTCTCAACATCCTTTGCTTCTGTTTATTCCAGATTTGTCTTGGTCTGCCACTTAGAGCCTACACTTGAACTGTGCCTGTGGTCCATTTTCTCACAATGTTTCTCACAGTGGAGACTGAAAGCTGAAATCTCTGAGATAGCTCTCTGTATCCTTCCCCTAAACCATGATGGTGAACAATCTTTGTTTTCAGCTCCTTTGAAAGTTGTTTTGAGACTCCCATGCTGCGACTTTTTAGAGGAGATGCAGAGGAGAAAACCTTTTTTTCCCCTTAAATCCCCTTTCTCATAATTGGAGTCACCTGTGTATGGAGGTCAAGGGTCACTGAACTTACCAAACCAAATTTGAGTTCCAATATTTAGTTCTAAAGGTTTAGAAATCAATAAAATAACAGTGCCCAAATTTATGCCTAATTTTAACCAATTATTGCACACTTTCTGTAAATCATATAAACTTCATTTCACTTCATCTGTGTTTGTCCCCTATAATATATTTTAATGATTTTTTAATCCAAACAATCAATGATCTGTAAAGGTAAATCAGGAAAATCAACAAGGCTGCCCAAACTTTCGCACCCCACTGTATATCCAAGAMTTTCTGTTATCTAACAACAGCTGATATCAGTCTAAATGTCTGCCATGAAAGGCCGTGCATTATATGTATTCCTCCAAGAAATACTAAGGTTTTATGCTTTTAGAGCAACAATTTAAAATATGGAGCAAAAAACATGAGGGTTGTAGATTTTTGCTGATAAAAAGAATCCTGCCAACACTAAGTTTACAGCTAAATTCAAAATTTTAAACAATTCTCTATCTATACATTCACAAAGTACTGTATATACCTAATGAAATATTGCCTTATTTCTCTGGTCTTCCACACGAGGGAGCTAAAAACAAAAAACCATGCAATTATCTCTGCTGCTTCCATCTCCCAAAATTTTAAAAACGCACCTGAATACCTATTTCTTTTTTTTTTCTCTCCATTTCATGGATATTGCAAAGAAACGAGCTCACAGTGCCAATTCACACTTTTGTTTGCTTTATTCTTCAGAAGTCACAGAAAATAAGAACTCAACACCTTGTTACCAGCTTGCAGGCAATGTTACATTCCATACTGAAGAGGGTGGGCCTGGTTATATACAGAAAGTAAACACTGTTTTTAAAAACGACTGCATCTGTAAAATCCTGACTTGGTGTGCTTTCGGGTGTCGGTTCAAAAAAGTGGTGTTGGAGTCATCACAGCTTGATGCAGAGTCTGCTTAAAACATCTCCCAATTTTATTTAATCTTACAAATGGTGAAAAAAAAACTCATTTACAATGGGTAATCAGTTAAAAACTTCAGTCATTAGGTACATCTCAGCCATAAAACCAGTAATATCAAAGGCTATACAACGTGCATTACTACAGAATGATGAAACGGTGGTATCTAATGGAAAGTGATGAGCACCTATTGGGTTTTTTGTTGTTTTCCCTTTTTAAACAGTTAACTAAATCTATTTCAGGAATGGTTTTGTGTTCACAGGATCTTAAAAGAGTTGTAAACAACTGTGCACTGCAAAATGACAACATTTAAGACTTGGAGAAGGACTTCCCTTTTAAATATCACAATGTGTCGGATCTTGCAGACACAGCTTTAGCTGCTACATCCAATTGCCCAGCACCAAATACTTTTTGATTAAATATATGGTAAAATTTCAGYAAYGTGTCATGGTATCATGTTTAAAACACACACACAAAAATACCCATCCCTCCCCCACTCCCATTTGCACTTTCACACTCACCCATGTTACAAATGCAAGCACCATTTAGCAGTGAGGAAGCAGCACACCGTTTACTGCACCTCCTGTCCATCACTGCCTGGRACATTGCAGTCATTATGGATGAGATGGATGCAGAGTAGTAAACATACAACAACAAAAAGGAAATTAACCAAAAATTAAAAAAAAAAAATTAAAAGAAAAAGAATCCCTGGTTTTAGACAAGTCCTCGCATTCGTTCAGACAGGCTACATCTTCTCCTTCATTTCGGTGTCTCGTTCAGCAGGATTACTCGGCGGCGGYGGCCTCAGGACTGGCTGCCGTCTCTGGCTCGGTSGGTGAAGTTTTAGCTGCTTTTTCTTCTCCTTCAGCCTCTCCCTCCACCTTCACTTCTTCGGCCTTTGGCTCCTCAGCTGCAGTCTCCTTGGCTTCCTCGCCGCTGCCCTCAGCTGGCTTGGCCTCCTCCGTAGCCTCTGAGGCAGGCTTCTCTCCTTCGGCTGGTTCTGAAGCTGCCGCCGCTGCTCCTTCCTCTGCCGCCTCCTCCGACTCCTTCTTGGTCTTCTTAAAGGAGAAGCCGCTGAGCTTGAAAGAGGGCTTCTTGAAAGAAAAGCGCTTCTTCTTCTGCTTGCCCTCCTCACTGGTG